TTGCAAACACAACATGCAATTGCAATCACAGTTTGCAAAAACAAAATGTGATTAGCCACATGACCTCTACCCTTTTATTCTTCTTTTCTTCGTTCAAACATGGTGGTGAGACAAGCTCCAAACCATCCCAACATCATATAAAGCAAAAGTCATATAATATTTATAGATGCAAAAGTTAGATATTTTATATATATGCGTCATCCACATGGCTTGAAATTACAAATTCACTTTCACATATTACTTTCCACAAGCGCACAGACTAACAATAATAATAATAAACCAAAAACCCACTAAATAATATATATAAATAAACATCCACAATTCCAAACTGAGACTAATAAAGCAGCAAAAACAAAAGCTATAGCAGCTACTTGTGGTATTTCTAAGGTGGGAGATGCACTTGTGGTGTTTCCAATTTATCAGATGTTGCCTCCTTCAAGCATTTTCGTTGAGCAATTGCTCAGCAAAGGATTTTTTGATATCAGCATCAAGTGACTTGAACAGAGATATTGTTTGTGGCTTATCCAAAATGACTTTTAATGCTTTAATTTGATCCATAGCAGAAAATCCCATTTCCTTGACTTCTTTGGCAATATCAGATCGATCTTCATTACCTTTTAAGAAAGCATCAGTCACCATTTGCATTCTTTTTCCAGATACTTCAAACAATTTTTCCAATGCAGTCACAATTCTATCTTCATCACTTGAGCCTCTTTTCCTCTTGTTTTGACTAGCCACAGATTGGCTGCCCTCCTTGTTTATTGACATGGGAGATGTATCATTGTCATCACTAGCATCAACTTCATTATTCCCTTGCTCTTCCATCATCTCACTGGGGACTTCAGCTCCTTTTCCTTTAGCACGATCCTTTCCAAAAATATTAGCAAGTCTATCAAATAATGGGAATGATTTGCTCCTCCATTCAGCTGCATTCTTGTGGTGCTACAATAAAATAAGACACCACTTAGTTTATGTTTAACTATGTAACAAAAAACAAATCTCTGTAATGAAATATAGGCAAGTAGTACCTGCACATAAGTCTCCCAAGCTTCATTACTATCAACTTCAATGCATTTTTTTAACATCATTCCATGCAAATCCACTTGTGTTTATGATGTCATAAATTATACTATATTGTTTTTTCCACCATTTTAACTTTGATTCAATGTGTGGACTTGCCTTTAGCTAAGCACCAAGACATAGATTATTCAAAAACTTCTCCATTTGGAGCAAAGTACCAGATTTGAAATTACCAGTCTCACATCAATGGCCTCTAGCCACAAAATCTTCAAGCACTGTCAGCAATTGCTCTTCCTCAAATTTAGACCATGACCGCCTAGTTTGTTTCCTCCCTTGCTCAAAGTCTTGATTGGTATCAACACTTTCCATTCCTATTATTACTCCACACATATAAAGCAACACTATATATCATCATTGAACTAAAGAAAAACAAACAACAAAAGAAATATGTAACATTGACAAACAATAGGTAACAACAGCAAGGTTGTCAAAATTATAACATAATTGGTCAAGTCAATATAACAATCATAATCATTATTCAAATTGCAAAGTGCTTAATCCTCAAGCAAATTAATACATGCTTAAGTTTGAATGGTGATCTTTCAAATACAAATTGAAACAGAATTCACAAATTGGCTAGCTATTCATAAACCACAAATTGAAACAGAAACCACAAATTGCCTAGTTATTCCTAGTTGCCCCCCACTCATTATATAGTTGCAAGGCCAAGTCATCCCTCCATGCAGTCCATTGATTGGATGCTTCGACAGTGCCAATTGTATCACCTTCTACTGTATTTTCTGCCTCATTAATTTCATTCACTTCATGCTCCATTGGATCCATGGACATCTCCCTCCTAATGAGATTATGTAAAAGACAACAAGCTGTAATTATCCGACATTGCGTCTTTATAGGGTAAAAAGACGGACTCCTTAGTATGCCCCACCTAGCTTTCAACAACCCAAAACATCGTTCTATTACATTTCTTGCTTTTGAATGCCTCATATTAAAATATTCTTGATGATTTGCAGCTGTATATCCATCTCTCCATTCGGATATATGATACCTTGTTCCTCTATATGGTGCAAGAAATCCCTCACCATTTGTGTAACCACCATCTACCAAGTAATAATAACCTAATAACCAAAAATTGACAATTCCTATTAGTGTTGGTATATAAATTTAATTCAAAATTGCACATAAAGTGAATACTTACTAATGGCCTTACCCGTGGGAACTTTTAACCAATTTGGCCTAGTTATGTTATCACGAAGGATTCGAGAGTCAGATGCAGATCCCTCCCAACCCAGCAATACAAATATAAACTGCATGTCACGTGAGCAAACAGCCAACACATTTGTTGCAATTTCACCCTTCCTAGTTCGATATCTTGGTTTATCAGTTTCAGGCACACGAACTTTAATGTAAGTTCCATCTAGAGCTCCCAAGCAATTCTAGTAAAAGAAAGGTTACCTTTAATTAAGTTCTAAAAATTTCAAAAGAAGACAAAGCAACTTACTAGAATTTCTCCAAATTTCCAATACATAATAAACATACCTTAAAACATTTCCATCTATACTCTGTGCAACTCTCACCCACAGGTTCCGGCACTCTCAATAGGTTACCTTTCAATCTTAAAATTCCTTGCAACACAGAGTTGAAGTACCTACTAATGGTCTCACCCGATCGAATAAATCTACTTCTAATAGTATGATTCTTAACATGATGTGCAAGTACATGTAAGAATATACACACTTGTTCCTCCAAAGTCACCA